TTTCGAAAACATTCGATCGCACATTTTCATTGATTTGGTATGTAGCGCTAGATGAACGCACCAATGGGCAAATTAGGTACGTTTCCAACGACAACAGTCCTGAGGCAGGTGTCTATGGCGAGACACTTGGACTGGGAGAGTTCAAGGTATGTTATTTTACTATTTCATTTTCATTGCGAAAAGCTAACATGTTTTACCATTTATACAGGTGCGTTTCCATCCAATTAAAGGTAGAGTTCTACATAAATCCTATTTGAGCACAGTAGCTCCATCGCTTAGCAAACTGAAGGAAACTGTCTTCGCACACTTCCGCGTATTTTCTGACAGCCAGGGCAGGCGGTTTATTGGATTGCCAGGAGAAATGATCTCGCAAAATGGCGCGCTTCCGGACGAGCCCAATTTCATTGCCATACAAATCACCACTGAAGTGAATTTTACAATGGATATCACTTATCAGTCCACATCTGGTTATTCACACGGTGAGAGTATATCCAAACCGCCCACAGCTAAAGAGTTTACCAATTCTTTGCAAGATAAATTGGCTGAGTTCGATAGGCAATTTGAGGGCACATTCCATTTGCAGGCCAAAGGATATTCAGCTGACGAAATAAAATTCGCAAAATATGCAGTGAGCAATCTAATTGGCGGTATCGGCTACTTCTATGGTTCAAGTAAAGTAAAATCAGTATACACTAAAAAACCAGTACCTTATTGGAAAGCTCCATTGTACACCGCTGTACCGTCACGCTCTTTCTTTCCACGTGGTTTTTTGTGGGATGAAGGCTTTCAATCCTTAATAATAGCATCGTGGGATTTGGATATTGCATTGGATATTATGTGTCACTGGTTTGACCTACTCAACATTGAAGGATGGATACCGCGAGAACAGATTTTAGGTGTAGAAGCACTAGCGAAAGTACCAGATGAGTTTGTAGTTCAACACAATAGCAACGCCAATCCGCCCACGTTTTTCCTCACACTTGACAAAATACTTACGCATCATAAGAAAGAGCTTTCGGTGAAGGGGCGACTCGACATATTGGAGCGTCTGTACCCTCGTTTACAAGCATGGTTTTCATGGTACAATACTACACAACGTGGTGAAATATTGGGCACATACTATTGGCGCGGACGAAATGCTTCTAGCGAGCTTGAATTGAACCCCAAAACCTTAACATCCGGATTGGATGACTTCCCACGTGCCTCGCATCCCACCAGCTATGAACGACATGTCGATTTGCGTTGCTGGATTGCACTAGCAGCAAGGGTGATGAGTGATTTATCTGACATACTTGGAAAAGATAGCATTAAATACTATGAAACAGCATCATTTCTGGCAGATAACAAATTGCTAAATGAGCAACATTTGAGTCCATTCATTGAGACCTATACAGACTGGGGGCTGCACACAGATGCGGTAGTACTTAAACGTCCAAAGGTGACAAAACAAAACTTTATGAGAAATCAGCAACCACAATTGGAAATGGTGCGTGTAACTCTAAAGCAACCGGAGCGGCAATTTGTCGACTCGACATATGGCTACGTGAATTTATTCCCATTTCTATTACATATACTCGATCACGATTCAGAGTACTTAGGTAGGTTGCTCAGCAATCTCCGTGATCCAAATGTACTATGGACAAATTACGGGATTCGTTCGTTATCCAAGAACTCGCCGTTGTACATGAAACGCAACACTGAGCATGATCCACCATATTGGCGTGGTCCAATTTGGATAAACATAAACTATTTAGCAATAAGAGCGTTACACCACTACGGTACCATTGAGGGACCATATGCCGCGCTGGCACGGGAAATCTACGCTGAACTGCGCGAGAATGTTGTTGGAAATATATTCCGTGAATACAAGAGAACCGGTTATCTGTGGGAACAGTACGATGACACCACAGGACACGGAAAAGGCTGCTATCCTTTCACGGGCTGGACCTCGCTGGTTGTACTAATTATGGCAGAGACATATTAAATTCATTAAGCGATTTATAATGATTTATTACTATAAGTTTTGAACTGCACAGCATAACTGAAACTGCATTAAATGCCAATTTACCAAAGTTGATCTCTTATCACCCCAAAAGCATTTTCTGCCGATTTCCATGATATGTAATGTGTAGAGTTTAATGAGTAAATGTAATATTAGCAATAATAAGGCCAAAAATTACGAAAGTTACGAACAATAAACGAAAAATAACCTAGCAATTAGAATTCAAGTTTTTTGGGTGGTAACAATTCGAAGGGTAATCATCGGAGATTGGATCGTATTGTAGAGTATAAAAGCGTTGTTGTTGTGGTTGTTGTAGCGGCTTCAACAACCCCGCCCAGGTCGGTTAGTATCTCAGTCGTTGTCGTCAAGCTCCACTAACGGAACCCCAGGAAGCGTGCAGCCTCAATGTGGTCGGTCCACAGGGACAAATAAGTCAGTGCTGTCGTGTTTTCCGGGCATACGAAGAGATGTTTCGAGTCGTGGGGTGTCTCTCCTGGTCTGACACATCGAGCAGCTTGTCAGAGGAAGCAAGAGTTGTTGGCGGCGGTGTGTGGGTGGTCGTGCGGTTGGGTCTGTGGTGTGGTCTGTTGTATCGGTGCTGTGGTCTATTGCGTTGTGGTGCGACAGTGTTTGTGCTGATTAGGCGGACTCTGGTGTGCCGTGGAGGCAGGTCGGTTCGATCAGTAAGGGGCCACGTATGAAGTGGTCCATTTGCCTGTGAGTCGAAAGGCCTGAGCAAACTCGGAGGTGACCCCACCCGTTGTAGGAGTTGCACCTGACAGAGGTGGAGTTATGGTGTAGTCGTCTCTTCCACGTGGCGCAGGTATAGGTTCCTGGCTCAGGGTTTGACTCGATGCCAGTCCTGAACAGAAGTATGCGAAGCAGATGTAGCCCTACGGAAGTACAACTTTTAAGGGATTTCGCCAACCTAAACGGGGTTAGATCGCCGAAATCACATCCCTTGGTCGGGAGAGATAGCTGTTTAGTCTGTGGCAGCACCCAGAATGAAGTTGTGCTAGGATGCACCTGTCCTCTCTCGGCAGTTCCGCTTAATCGATGTTAATGGGCGGCGGTCGAGCGCCTAGGATGATGTTGTTGTTGTAGCAGCATACAAGTTCGCCAAAGGGTTTTTGGGGAGTGTTGCTGGAGTGACAGTCCTTGGCCACATATAAATCTGGGTCGTTCCGGTTACGTAGACCCGACTGTCGTGGGATGATGTTGTCCTTTCGGGTGCTGAGATTCGTCCTGACTGCATCGGTTTGTAGGTGGTTAGGTGTCGCTCTGTATTTTTCTACGTCGAATGGGTGGTCTATGCACGGCTCAACGTCGGGTTTCCAGCCGCGCAGGTGCTGTCTGACATTTCGGGGGTGGATCCTTTCGAAATAGGGTGTTGTTGGGATGATTTCCACGTTTGCATTCCACGAGAAACTGCTTCGATGGCAAGGTGTTATGCTCTTCCACCGCCAGCATCTGGCTTTCTTGGTGGAGGTGATGCTTGGGTGACATGAGGTGGCAACCTGTAACCGTGCGTAGAGCTGCATTCTGGCAGGTTTGTAAATTTCTCTACTGTGTGTCGCTGGTGCCTGCCGACCACACTGGCGCTACGTAGTTTGCCACCGACCGGCCGATTGCTTTGTACGTGGTGAAGATTTCTTTGTCGGCTCCCCAAGGGCTACCGGCTAGTGAATGGAAGGCTTTGCTCCTAGCTCGCACTTTTTGTCAGGTGGCTGGTGCGTGCGCTGAGAAGGAACGTGACTATCAAGAATTTGGAACGGTTGACCGTCGGTATTCTGTTGATACGGACGTAAACGTACAGTTTCAGCCTGACCTCTTAGTCCAGGTGGTGAACAGTGTGGCGATGGATTTCGAGGCGGAGATTTTTATACATTTTGTTCATAGTTATATGGTACATATTTTTAGGCTTCGTTTTCAGCATAAAAATCCGCAGTCTACTCATAATACCACGACTAAGATAAATTAGTGGGTCCTTGGTCCTGTTCCCACAAGCAGGAATTCCAGAAGTCCGTCAACCGCGACCCTAGACTTATTAGTGTTGAAGAAATCGTACAAAAATAAAAAACAAATTTAGTTGTTGTATAACAACATGCATATGTGTATCTAAATTGATTCGTATCAGATTTTCGTAAATATTTTTTAGTTCGCTTGCAGTATTCGAGGCATCTTTATTACCATTTGTCCTACTTAAACTCTTCCAAGGTTTACGGAGATTTTAATCATATACCTTCCCCAACAAGAACTGACCTATTTATCTTATCATTAGTAGCTGTTTGCGCTTTTTTCACGAAATAATACGTCAATACGTTTTGAATAAATTGATATGATCTTTTTTAATTTTAATTTTCACATGCCATCTAATTATATAATAAAAAGTACACTTTTTATGCAGCACAATACACATTTACGTACTCAAATGAGTATGTGAATACCGATAAATTAATACGAAGTGAAATTTATTTAAAAAACAAGTATGTTTAAGTATGTGTACACTGAGCGGTTAAATGAAAGCTGGAATACTATTTCACAAACAATTTCATTGTTTTTAAACAAAATTAAAAATTTAACCTACGACTTAACTACGGGTTTTATTTATATACACACACATTTTTTATTGCTGGAATAATCAATTTCCCATTACAACCAGAATGCGCAGATGCATTGTATAATTAATTCTATCATAAAAATATACATAAATGCAAAATATAAAACGAACCCCGATGGTCATATCTGTTCTAATAAAAAAAAATAAATGTTTTTAGATAAGAGAAATTGTTCACATTGCATGATATGAGCTTAGCTGAAAGCATTTTAAGTACACTTAAGGCTATTTTATGTAAACGTTAAAAAAGCTCCAGTTACAGTTGCATATTGCAAGATGGGTTATTGATAAATTGAATGAACTTATTTATACATAGTACTATACGAGTATAGTCTACAATAGAACTATCAACTATCGTAAGTTTTGTTCTTTGTCTTTAGTTTTAGGGTTTTAAGAGTATTTTTAACTATTTATTCTGTTTTGTAAGCAAAACTCTCCCGATAGGTGCACAATAAACTATTTGTATAGTTAGCAGAAAGTCTTTTGCGTTTCCCTCCCCTTAAAAGAAATGAAAAACGAAAATTTAACACAGTAGAGTATGTAGAGATTATCAAATTTAAATACGCTGAACAGATGCCGCTTTAGCGACTTATTCCGGGACTTTTCTTTTGCTACGAAGTGGGGGAATACGATCAAGCAACGCATGAAATATACTGCCAGGAATACGTTGATGCTGATTTATCAATTCCTCCAACGCCGCGGCCACCTGAAACAGAAATCCACTCAAAAATGTTTAAGGTAAATATTTACGTATGTATGTCAAATTGCAACCTTCATTTGCAGCTCCTCTGGCGTTAGCGTGCCATCGTACGCTATCGGTCGACCCACGAATGTGCGAAACTTCACCGGAAATCCACCGTAGATAGGGTAAACCGGTATGCGCACTGTATTGTAGAGTTTCATGAAAAAGTTGCGAAATATGCCCAGCTGTCGGAAACCTTCGCGTAGATTTTGCGTAAAGCAAGGTATTATTGGCACCTTGGCCTCCAGCGCAACCTTTGCAAAGCCAACACGATTACGCCACAACAGTTCATAATATTGATCGCCGAATTGTGCTTCATAAACGCCACCTGGTGAGATGGCTAGTAAATTACCCTCTTTTAGAATGCCAACACAAGACTGCACCGTGCCGGGACTGACGTGAAATGCCTCGGATATTGTACCCCAACCGGGTAATTTGAATAGAAATCGATCGCCAATGGTGTATATAAGACGATCCTTTTGCAGTATAATGCGTGAATTTAAGTAATACATGTCGATGGGTATAGCGCCATGGTAGTACACAATCAACGCAGGTCCAGTTTCTGGTATATTCTCCATGCCGATTACTTCGTAGCCATGATAAATGCGCGCGTGAGCATCCCACAAAGCGGCGACCAATTTTCGACCGAACTCCCAGAATTTACGATCCGTGCGAACAGTGCGCATGATTACCTCCCTGAAAAGAGAGAGAGAGAGAGAGAGAGAGAGAGAGCCGAAATTAAATATTTTATTGGAAATTGGACATGAAAGAAAATAAATGTTAAGTTAATAACTATTGGACTAAATAGATATAATAGTGGCGCTTTCTATAGCCCTCGACAAAGCCGATGCTCGAGGTATGCTTTGCACACCGTTAAGGACTAGAGCCAGAGGGAGTATCTATCATCTCGGCCGGCAATGAAATTGATGGCATGTGTTCAAACGTAAACAGTTACCTCTCCGAACCTTTTCGCTTCTTCAATAGAAACCATTTTTATCACCTGGATGAAAGAGATGAGGCTACATCTTGGAATTCACGTCGACGGCGAAACATTCGAGATCTTTCGGACTAACCTTCGACAAGCTGCTTTCTTTCCCGGCGCACACAACTGCCATTGCCAACAAAGTCCTTAAATCGCTCGACGGCAGTACGATGTGTAATCATTACCTGTGGACGAGGGTGACGTTCAATTGCCCCGAAAAATCCGCGTCACTCTGCGCCTCAATTATGGTTTGAATACCGTAGCCGTCTAAACAGCTACCCATCCCAATTAGACGCCAACATGCCCACTCATTTCAAATCTAACAGCCCTCTCCCACTGCTCCGACCCCGTCGAAATATCACGTCTCCAAGGTCCGCCGTTAGTTTAGATTGACAACAACGATTGAAGGACTCTACAGTCTAGGCAGTCGCTACAGCAACAACAGAGATCCGAAAAAGGAGCTTCCCGAAGCACCGAATGCTAAATTGAGACCTCAATGGTGCAGACCGCCATAAGACGTGAGCTTTTCAACCGGTCAAAAATACCTGGATTAAAACCAGCAAATGACGGTTCGAGAGAAACTTTAAACATGTCCTGATAGATGGTTCAAAGAGAACCTTAGAAGGCATTTTGCGAAAAATTTTAAACAGGGACCAAAAATAACTGTTATCTCAAATTTACAAATTGAAAACGTTGTCCGAATTTAACTGAAATTTAACAAATTGATAACGTTGCCCGAATTTAACTGAAATTTAACAAAAACGTTGTTTCATAACAGTTATTAGATGAAAATATTTGTTACTTCGCGGATAAGAGTTATAGCCCAAGGTTTATTTTTTACGTTGTTTGATAACAGTTATTGCCAACGTTGAACGTAAGAAAACAAAACATACTTTATGCAGAAAAGTTAAGAATTTCATTTTTGTTGAAAAATATTTTTGGTTTGTCTATAAATTGACAGTTTTTGCTGCGATAAAATCGCACAGATGTGTGCGTACTTGCGTTTTCGACGCAGTAACGTCTGTAGCATCAAAAACGGTGCGGATTCGTTGCGACAGAATCGCATTGATGCATGGATACCTTAATTCTTTGTGAATTCGAAATTCGAAGATTTTTTTTTTTCCAATACCATGACGAAATAGAATAGTTGTCTCCTCTTTTCGATAAAGGTTGTAAAAAAATATTTGACACCAAAAAAATTTTGAGGGAGGTGTAAATATTGTATGAAATGACCCTTATATTTGGTAGCAGTGAAGTGTTTCGGAGTGATTTGGGAGGAAAAGTAAAGTGATTATCGTACTGATTGGTTAATCGATTATTTTTTTTTATATTAAAGTACTTCAGTATACATACATATGCACCGATTTCAAATATGTATTAGGCGCCTTTTTAATATTTTTCATAAAGTTGCATTACAATTTAACAAGAATTAGTTTCCTACGCCGGCGCTATTTATTTCTAAGATTGACGACGAAATATCTATCGGCGTAAACCGCTTGTTGGTATATGCTTTTATTCAGACACATTTTTTGAATTGCTACCTATAAAAATATTTAAAAAAAAATTATATAGTATAAAAACTAGCTACTTGTTTATGGTTTTAATACTAAATATGAAACGGCCAATTTAGTTGAAATTCGACACATAGACCATGTTCGGGAACCTCGGGGCAATAAGCGATTTTTTTATAAATGATAAAATTTATTTCATTTTTTGTTACATTTGAAATCATAACGTTAAATAGAACTAAATGCGGGCGGAGCTGCAGGAAAACCTAGTAATTATATAACAAGATAATCCATTAGCAAAAAGTAACAAAAATTGGAATAAGTATGTATTTATGGAAAGTTGCAAGCATTCATGAAGACCCCTATTGATTCATCTATTTGTTAAATGCCGTCGAAAACACAGCGGTAATCTAAATATGTGTGGTATTAAACAATCTCAAACGCCGTTACTGATAAGGAAGAAATTAATCGTTTCGATTGAACGTTGGGAAGATTGTATAGATAGTAAATATGTGTTGATATATTTCAGGGACGGTAATAATTATGTAATTATGGGTAAAATAATATAAATCAGCATTTAATCATTATTTTATGATTTTTGTTTTGTCTCGCTTAAAAATAATAAATTATAATTGAGTTTTATTTTTCGCTCAGCAGAAATAATTATTATTTGATTTTTAGTTTTTTCGATCAAAAATAATGATTATTTTATGATTTTTACTTTTTCGCTCAAAGATAAAAATTATTATTGAGTTTTATTTCCCACTTAAAAATAATAATTAATTATACAATTTAAAAGGGCATAAATACGTCTTAAATACCTCTGAAAATTTTACCTGAAAATTTTGGGACTTATTCCTTTTATTAGGGTGTCGCTACCTCTGCAAAGGATACCTCGAAAATCACGCTGGTACAGCTTTTGACTTTTTTAAATGATCATTATACTTAAGTGAAAAAAATAAAACTTAATAATAATTATTATCTTTGAGCGAAAAAATAAAAATCATAAAATAATCATTATTTTTGATCGAAAAAATAAAAATCAAGTAATAATAATTTCCTTTGAGCGAAAAACTAAAACTCAAAAGTTAATTATTATTTTCAATCTTTAATGGTTAAACTCTTGGAACTGAACTTTTAACTGAAGTTACGCTTTTGGTGGAAATGGGCTATAAAAAACCTTTCGTAATATGCTGCGATGTTGACGTCTAAATTGTAAAGGATAAGCTAGCTGTTTTTGTCTCACTCTAAAAGCCTGAACCGAGGAAGCCAGCTACGTTCATAGTGCTTCTGGTGTCAGGGTCTGGATGGAGGTGCATGCGATGAGATGTTGAGTGTTGTTTGGACCTTGTCCGCATGCTGGGTAGATGCTTTCTACATTTGCAGTTTAGCGTTGTTGGGTAATATGTTTCCAACAAACGTGTCTTTGCCTTTAGCTTAAGTGATGGAGGCAAGCGATTTGAGGACTTTGTTGCGATTCAGTACTTTACTGAACAACTGCAATTTTTGACGACCGCTTAAACTTACTAACCGCTTAAATTTTCGGTAATTAGTTATTGGCGTACGATTGCTGCTTGGTTCCCACCGCCCAAGTGGTTGTTGTTGCAGCGAAATCGGTTGGCTGTCCTTTTTATCTTTCCCCTCTAAATCCTCCAACCTTAGTCCCAGGAAGCGTTGTTGTTGTTGTAGCGGCACTACTAAGCCCCGCTTATTTCAGTTCAACCTTCAATCATTGTCGTCAAGCTTAACTAACGGTAGGCCCAGGAAACGGACTGAAAGTAACTGAGCCAAGGTAACGCGGGTCTCTCTTGGGCTCCGATTACGGCATTCATAGGCCCATAGGCCGGGAGTCGAGGTAGGTGGTGACCGACTTCCTATGAATGTCGTTGATCGCTCGGCTGTACGTCGTCGGGTCTAGTGGTTGGTCTACGTATTTTTGGACTGTGTCCTTGTACACGAATAGGTGCCCCCCTGACGTGCCTGGGCGGAGGCTCCCTCCTCTAGCAGTGGCCTGTTGGGGTGTTCACTTCTGTGGCACTGCTTACAAAGCATTTTGTTGTGCTCCATTACGGGGAGCACTTGGGCCTAGCTGTGTAGGTGGTTTTTAGGCGACATCAGAAGGCACCTAGCCGCTGTCCGGAGTGCGGCGTTCTGACAATTCTGTAGATTCGTTCACTGCGCCCAACTAGTCCCCGGCGACCAAACTGGTGCGGCATCATTTAGAACCGGACGGCCAATTGCCTTGTATGTTGCCGGCAACGCTTCTTTGTCTTTGCACCAGGTGCTGCCGGCGAGCAACTTGACGACCTCGTTGCGGTTCTGTACTTTGTTGACAACTGCGGTTGTGACCCCTAAGATTTTAGGGTTTTTTACTTTCGGTATTGGTATGTCATCGACGTGAATGCCTAATTCAAGCCTGACCTCCTTCGTCCAGGTGGTAAAGAGGGTCGCCGTTGATTTCGTTGGGGATAGTGTTAGGCTCATCGCAGTGAAGAAGCGAGAAAGAAGCGACGGCTGCAGAGATAGCCGTTTACTTTTGAGCAGAGGTCGTCAATTTCATTCCCAGACGCCAATATCGAACAGTCGTCAGCGTATGAGATCAGGGAAACTCCCTCAGGTGGCTGGGGGACCTTCGAGATGTAGAAGTTGAACAGGAGGGGGAGAGGACACCACCTTGTGGAACCCCTTGTTTTATTCTTCTTGGTTTCGAGGTTTAATCTCTGAAGATTACTGACGACAGTCGGCCACCTTCTTATCAAGTCGACGTTTAACCTTGGTTGGTTGAGTTTAATTGTTTAATTTAATAAGAAATTTTGTTTAATTTGATAAGAAAAGCAGTGCGTTTTGCGAAGTAGGTGGGCCACAGACTCCTGCAGACCCTACAGGATTGTAGGTCTTTCCATCTACTATTAAACACCTTTTTCCAGTGCTGGGAGATGCGGTCCTTAATATAGCTCAGAGGCACAAGAATCTCCTCTGCCTCCAAGATATCCAGAGCCGACCCATTCCTGGCCAGATCGTCATCCATCTTGTTGCCATGAATTGTGCGGTGCCCCAGCACCCAGATCAGAGCAACGACTTGCCTGTCAGCTAAAACCATAACGTTCGCCTACACTGATTTATTATGTGGGAGGTGATGCTTACAGAGTCGAGTATCTTGACCGCTGCCTGTCTATCCGAGCAAATAGCAATGCTGGTTCTCGCTAGCTTCGAGGCTAAAATTATTTTGCACATCTCTTTTATGGCAAAGACTTCTGGTATCGCAAAGAATTTGGTAATCGCATAGACTCTTCAATTTTTAGGTCGGTTGAAAATATTCGCGCCCCTACGCCACAATCCACTTTTAGAGCTGTCCGTAAAAATTGATACTTCGAAGGGTTCAGTAATGCAGCCTCCCCCCCACCCCCTTTACGGTCTTGCTTTTTTCTATAAAGTTACGCGGTTTTGCAGAACGACGATACCTGGTTTTGTACTTTAAACGACGATATGTACCTTATATGTACACTGGCGGCAGAAATAATAGACTCGTCGTACTTTTAAGAATCAGTAGCTCGTTTCTGTAACTATTCTCTACCGATTAATTCTCTACTGGGAAGATACGTCATTTTCTACTAGTCATGAGCAGTAGAGAAGAACAAGGCAGATAATTCATATATGAAATCGCCTTAGTAAAGAATAGTTACAGAAGCGAGCTACTTGGCTATATTTCTTTAGTTTATTTTATATTTAATATTTTTTTAAAAAGCCTAGGTGGTTATACAACAAACATCATATAAATCCGCCTTTTAAACTTTAAACAAAAATTATAAAACTTCGACAAATTATCAAAAAATTTTCAAACTTTTTATTCAAAATATTTGGTATGCAGTTTTGTACATGTGGTATGCTACAAAATACCGCTGATTTGTAAGATTTTTTTTTTTTGCTGATGGTGCCACGCATTTTTTTCCCATACAAAGAGTGCACGACAATTTTTTTATATGAAAGAGAATGCCAGGCATCGTCAACAAAAAAAAAAAATTGTCAAAAATGAGCGGTATTTTCTAGCTACTTGAAACTTGCACTTTATTATACTAAAATTGAATGGGCTACAAAACTGCATACCAAAAATTTTGAATAACAATTATAATAATCTGAATAAAAAGTTTAAACATTTGGTGACAAATTTGGCGAATTTTTATAATTTTTGTATAAAGTTTGTAAATGGGATTTATATGGCTTTTATAAAAAAAAAATATTAAACATAAAATAAACCATGGAAATATAGCCAAAACTTTTCAAAGTAAGGCGAGTCTATTATTTTTGCCGCCAGTGTATGTATGTAAGTATGTATGTTAAATTGTGAATAATATGAATCCAAAATGCAACAACGTAAAAATATAGCTTATTTTAAGCAAATTTGTTTACATTGCTTATTTGTATGTACATATCAGTAATCTACTAATGTGTTTGACCGCAGTAAATAAGACCTAGCAATAAGATTTGGATAAGGGCCATTTCATCGTGACTTGCTTTAACAACAATACCAAACGGTTTCTTAGTTTTATGTAACTATCATTTGAATGAATGTGACTGGTGGGCCACTAGAAAAAACTTTATTTTTATGTTGTAAAACATGTACTATACGCTTTCTTTTTCAGTAAAAATTAGGCTTAGATAATCTTCATAGAAATATTAAAAATTATATAAATTTGTGACTGGAGGGGCCTGTCCTTATGACTAATGTAAAGTAATTATGCATGAAATAAAAGATTCCATAGACAAAACTTCTTTTTATTCTTTTCAATGTTTTTCAACATATTAATGAAATGTAGTTATTAAAAAAAATGGTATTAATGAAAAAAATATAATTAGGGCATTTTAAAATTTATGTCGTTTTCGTCTTTTACATGGAATGAGCCATAAAGCAATTTTAAATATTAAATAAAATAGAAAAGCTGCACCGAAACGATACGGACTAGGACTGCCTTAGTACAGCGTGGCGACGAATAACTGTAGCACAGTTTTCTTTTTTAAATAGAATGGTTCTTTATAGCTTTTCCGAAGAAAGCATTTTATGGTTAATCTTCCACAGATTTTACTTTAATTTTATTAATTAGTTTTAGAATTTCAATCCTTTTTGAAATTGCCAGCTTTCTAAACTTTGGGAGATGAGTACAAAGTACTTTTTTCGCAAAATTTATATAGGACCCTTTTATTTTTCAAAAAAAAAAAACTGGGTAAAAGTTATTCGTCGCCACCCTGTAATAGCGATCTTATGACGATTCTACTATGTCACAAGATCCAGTCAAGTCGGCTCGGTAAACAAAAACATCATATCAGCTTACTCTCAAACATTACCCCTGAAATATTTCTGCTACAACAACTACAAATATTGCAAAGTAATGCAAATATGATTGTTTTGATTTTTTTTATTGAACGTTGTCGGCAACTATTTGATTAAACGCAATTAAAGATCTATTAATTTTTCTATATGTAATTAGCTTTGATAGCACGTGCGCGTATGAATGTGTATTTGGATATACATACATATCTTACGGTATCTTAGAGTGAGAAGTTGCTAAGTCCACTTCTTTTGAAAACTCATATGCGAGTGAAATTAAAAATGCATCGTCTCCAAAAGAATAAAGGTACTTGTTTTATTTAATCACGCTTATATTCAATGAAAGGCAAATTTGCTTAGTCCAAAAGTGACACAGAAAGACCAAATCAATTCGAAATATTTTAATCAACATCGAATCCGTCTCGTTCGTATGGAGTTTAGCAATGCTTTAAACACTCAAAATGTTCTATTCAAAGTTTTGCAAAATACTTGAAAATGGCTATAAGAAGTTTCTTTCCTCTCGTGTAAAATTTGTACAAATGAACTTAGCAACCTTTCACTCTAAGCTAGCGATATGTATGTACATATTTACATCTAGTCAAGTGGATTACGAGCATACAAGATTAACCTTGACTGGAGATTAGAATTCAAAGTAATTATAGCGCAAGCTTTCGCATATTCAGGCAGGTCAAGCAGAACATCGAATATGAGTGTGTACATACATACATATGTAGTATGTATTTATATTTAATTTACATTAGAAGTGTATAATAAAAATTAATATCATTACACATATCGCTAGCTTAGAGTGAAAAGTTGCTAAGTCCGCTTCTTATGAAAACTCATATTTTGATTTTAATTTTTATTTAATTTTTTCTCGGGTGCATTCAATGAAAAGCAAGTTTGCTAAGTTCAAAAGAAAATCTGATAAGGCTAAAATAATACGAAATATTTTAATAAAGGGCGAATCCTTATTGTCCGTTAGAGTTTTGCTTTGCTGTAAATACGCAAAATTTTGTATTCAAAGTTTTGCGAACAACTTGAAGAAAATGGCTAAAAGAAGTTTTTTCCACTGCCGTAGCAACTTTTCGCTCGCAGACATTTTTTATTTAGGGATTGAAGGTTTGCACGTCATATAGGAAGAGGTGATTCCAGGTGATTCGAGTATTTGTACATTCCAGCGTACTTTTATAAGTAGGAAAAAATAAAACGAATATACCATACATGCATACATACTATACCTACATACATATGTAAGTGCCAATTAAAAAAACTAATTACATTTTCAAGCATCTAATAAAAAAAAATAAATACAGCATTCTCTAAAAACTAGCAATTTATTTGTCACTAAAATTATGCGATAAAAAAATGTAAACGCAGTAATAAAACACGTCATTGCTTTCAAACAACTAGTATGTACATATGTATGAGGAAATGTTTTGTTTAGAGCAGCACCTAAACCTATGCACGTACATATGTACACACAATCATTTGTATGTAGCTAATCATGCGTGTTACACTTAGTAAATAAAAAATTATATACAAAGTACCCAAAACAGTACTACCCAGTAGGCTAAAGGAGGAGTGCTCTTAAATAAACGCCTTCAGAAAGGGATTATTCAATACTATTTCTTTTGGAAATTTAATTAGGTCTATTGGAAGCGCTGCCATTCGAAGGCAAAGTCAAATAATTGTCTTTTAATAACCCCGTTCCTTTCGAAGACAGACGTGAAGGCGCGTTTCCATGGCAACCAAAGTCAAATAAAAAAAAATAAATAAAATAAAATAAAAATCGGAGTGGACGTATCGCTATGTGTGTACTGCAAAGTCAAATACAAACTGTTTCATCATGCAAATTTTCCCTTCTGTGAAAAGCAGAAGGACTGGAAATTCTGGCCATTCCATACAAAATGAAAAGGAGTAAAGAATGTGGCAGAAGGCCCCTTTTTCCAAATTTGTCGACTGGGTAGGTATGAATGCACATACATACATATATGTGTATAGCATGGGTATAGAGATACGAAAGAACTTTGATATCGTTTTTTCGAAGGAATGTTCTTTTTTATAATTTAAAAACTTTGCTTTTCGCCCTAAGACGAAATAAACACTTTCAAAATTTGGTATTTATTTGGAAAGAAGTGAAAAGTGGCTTGTAATTTACCAATTCATCTTAAATCTAAATACGCAAATGGATCTTTTTTTACAAATATTTACTAAAGCCCGCTGGTTAACAATTTCCTGTTTTATTTGCTTTCAGTTCGGATTTTTCCTCTAGAGCATTGAGAACATACATCACCATAATGAAATACATTGCCCCAAGTTTAAATCAACTTACTGAAAGCTTAAAACCATTTGCACAGAGTTTAATTTCATTTGCCAAAAGTTTTACTTAATGTAACAATACTATACATAGTCCAGAGAGGGTTTGAGGCCTCGTCCTTTATACCATAACCAGATACGTATATTTTGCACAGATACGATAAGTTTCTACGATCTATAATTAACGTTTGTTGGTTAAGCTAATTTCATGCATTTACTTCTCTCAGCCAAATGATTTTTAATGCAGGTACTAAAATACTTATCTATACAATTGTACAAGTAAAATTATACATACATACATATGTATTTTAACTTGTTCGAGTATTTGTGAACTTATAGCAAAACAAACCTAACTAGAAATGCTTAACTAGGCGTTTTAAGAGGCACAGCAAATAGCGAATTTGCCTTAGTAAAATAAGAGTTTTATGCCGATTGCAGCTAAAAAAACATCTTACCTGTGCAGTTTGTAAATGAAAAGCATCACAAATGAAATGTAAATGAGTGCCACGAAGACTAGTGGAAGTAGGAATGTTACAATCAGCGGCCAAAGTAATCGGTAAAGCCATAGTGAGTAATCCAAGTCGATATAGGTAGCTAGATACATATAAATCCGTAAAAAGCTACGTTTTTTGAGATTAAAAAGAATGTACAAACTTACAGAGGAACTCCTGTAGACTCTTAGTCCATTCCTGTAGGTAGTCCATTGCGCATTAGCCGTTTGCCTTTTCTAAATGTACCTCAAGAGCCGCCACACAATAAAGAAACAGCGGTTGATGGCCTCAATTTACGTTTACGTCAACAAAACAAAAGCTAACCTCTGTATTTGGGCAGCAGCAAGAAGCGCTCCGACATACAACTTCCAAATGATCCGTGATGCGTTTCTACACAGTCCCACACCTCGCCAGGTTATCAGCTTACAGCTATGTTTAGTATAAGCGTTGTAATTCTTACTTTTGCCTTTTTAAATTATGCACCTATTTCTGCTATTTTCACTTTGCATTCAAAATTAGTTTCTTTTTTCTTCTCCCAAACGTGTAAGTTCCCTGAAATTATTTTATCGTTTCATCATGTGGTTAAATGATTCCTTTCTTCTGTTTTGTAAACCACACAGGAATCTATAATTCTTAAATATTTATAAATAACGCCAATCCTCTCATAACTATTTCGCCAATTTCTTTTTTACAAACTCTATCATCAATTACACATGAGCTCCGTCTTTTTCATTATCACACCTTTTTTGCAAAAGTGATTGTTTACCTTCTTTTTATACAATCGTAACAAGAAAATCGAACATCAACGACGAAAGGCGAAACAGCAACTGAATGCAAAAACAAACATAAGCGCCAGCTGTTTTACAGTCAGTGCTGTGTTTTGGCGTGTATATCAGTGTTGATATTTTGAGTACAATTCTACTATTTTTTCGGTACAATCAAAGAATGTAAAATATGAGACAAATCATTACTTTGAAAAAGTGCCGCGCCGATTTTGACCTTATACGAAATGTGTGCAACTGGAATTCGTCTCCGTTTTGACTCTGTCCGCGGCAGATTTTTGACTTTCGTCTCGAATGCGGAAAACACTAGCAAAACAGAAGAAAAGAAGTGAATTTCGGTGATTATTTTGCACAAGTGGTTGGGGAAAATGTATTTTAATTAAGAAATTAAATATGAACGTGTAAAATATACAGTAGTCACTGAAAGCGTAAAACACTGAGGAGCTTGTGAGTGAAAGTGTCTATATCAATAATAAAATATGTTTGTGAGTGCAAAATGTTTTCCAACAAGTGCCGATTGTTGGTGTATATGGAGAAAAGTGATCATTATCTTAAACAAAATGAGTGTACGTTTATATAAAAATGCATCAGTTTATTTGGGCATTTTTTGGATAAAGTGTGTATTTTGGCGGCATTATTAACAAAACTAATGCTTGTTATATATAAATTTAATTAGTCTAAATGAAATCTATGCATTTTTATATATTTTTTTTATCATCGGGCAAGAATAAATAATTATATTTTTCGCGTAAATTCATGCAAAAAAACAAACGCGAAAATGAGAAACATCAGTTGTTTCCGTCTTTCTCACATCCTCCGCCTAAACAAACTTATAAATATGAAATATAAGTTGTCTCCGTCTTTCCTACGTCCTCTGCCATATTTATCTTGACAAGTTCTTAAATTCCTGCGAAATGCCACGTCCTGACATATTTACGCGCATACAAACGTACACACGTATCGTCATTTACAGTACAAAACCACGTATCAACAAAATGCAAAACCACGTATGTGAGATTGCATAAATTATTTTTTAGAGGGCAAAAACACTCATATTTCAAAATGGTTCTCTTTTTTATAAAGCAATCAAATTTCTGGCTAGTATATTACACGACGAATGGATAAGGATTGAGCCAAGAGCTTATGTGAGCAAATTCAATTTTTGGCAGCCAATGTCAGTTACGCGGTTTTGCAGAATGACGATACGCGGTTTTGTTCTTTAAACGACGATATGTACGCTTACAGTAGGCTGCTCATAACATGATCATTTTGTAGCTTTTATTCTGGCAACACTTATCATAGAACTTTCTGTTCGGCCTCACACATATATGTAATACTTCTATACTGGTAGTATGCATGAACCAAAAAGACAAGATCACGCGGGCAGGAGACTTGCCCGTTAGAATCGCATTTAGGAAAAAAGTTGAACGATTTTGACATTAGCCGTTTGTTTACATTTCTACATTGTTTAAATTTGGTGGTGGCTTTTTACTGCAATTTTCTTCATTTTCGCTTGTGACAACGTGTGTACACATAAGATAAAGAATAATTTAACACAACGGCATGATTTATAGAAGAATTTGCATAATAAAAATGATTTTTCATGCGTTCAACAATTTCGCGGTTTTCTCCGTTCTCTTCGTTGTTTACTTCTTACAACAAAGATGGCGTCGAGATTTCGGCAGCTAGAAAATAACTTTTTTCGTTCTTTCCTTCCCGCGTGATCTTGTGTCTTTCGTTCATGGGTAGTATGCTAACATCTCAATGTGTAAGCATTCCGAAATCAAAGCGAGACAGTCTAGTACTGTTTTTGTCAATGTATTGTGTACTTGAGTGCCGTTTTTGTAAATGTGTTGTGTACATGTTTATTTATAAACGTATGTGTTCCTTTCCCTGTAGGGAAACCGCGGACTAGTGAATCAAATTTCTAGTTCCGTACTAGGTCTTTATCGCCAAAAAGGAACTAGTTCGATAGGAACTAGATCCCCACCAGTCGAAAATCGGCGAAAAAGTGGTACTTTTAAAAGACTAATTTTTTCAGTTTTTTTGACTAGAAATCTATATCTAAAGTGAAGAATTTAGAAATGGTTCGGAACTATAGAAAAAGGGATGCAGAACGAACTAGATCTTATTTGTCGAATTTAGAACCAGTTCGGAACTATCGAATAAGGGATGCAGCGGGGGGCTTGTTTACTTTACATAGATATGTGTTCAGCGGCTTTTTCGTTCAAATACGCTTCTATTCTGTGCTTCACAGATGCTTTTTCATAGCTTGGTAATACAAAACTAAAATTTGTGTTAACATTTCAACATCTAGGGACAGTCTGGAATCTAAGAAATAACAGCGAGCACCTCTGCAAACTCAGCTACAGCTAAAGGTATGTTAACGTACATTTCTTACAATCATTCAAACAAAGTTAATTTCAAATTGAAAACATATTTCTTCCAAAATAACTTAAAATCGCACACACGGAAGAACCAAAAAGATTGAAAAATCATGATACTTTTTTCTTTCGTCTGTCGATTTTAGAACTGGTTCGGAACTATAGAATTTAGGACTAGTTCGGAACTATCGAAAAAGGAATGCAGCGGGGGGCAATTGCCGGCAACACAAATTGTTTGGTGGGATCTGTACTGTAGTGTTTTCGTACGGTACTAGCTCTCATAAACCAACGACTACAGATCACGTAATCCGCCATCGTTGTATTTGTAATCGATTTTCAGAAAAAAGTTTTCGTAGCGTTTTTGATGTTTTTTGGTTCTGTTTACATCGTCTTCTACCTCTTCGTAGTGATATTTTAGCGATTTTATGTGTTTTCTGCAGCGGTTTTAATTAGAAATTTTGATTTATTACAAATTTATGATATAATATGAAGTGCTTTGTGATTGGAACAAGTTTGTGCGTCTGTTTGATTTGCCAAGAGGAGAGTGGGTGCACATTTGTGGTCAGAACGTTGGCATTGAAAAATCGGCCGGAGCCGATAATATGCGATTGTAATCATTAAAACCATATTTTATGAACTTTTTTTGCTAATTGTCATCAAGTTTCACTTTTTATATTTTATAATAAATACAAATCTAATCGCACTCAATAACCGCGCCTTTTTCGTTTTCTTTGTTTGTTTTCATATTTAGGCAGATGTCAAAAACGCTCAGAAATTTACTTTTTTCATTATTTTCCGATTGCGTGATCTTGTTAGTTGGTTCATGCTAGCTCTTACTGCCAATATAGTAGTATTACATATATGGCCTCACAGTAACCCCTTTCTTTGCATTCTGTTTTTAGCTGACATTCTTTGCTGTTTAGATTCTTTTACTTTGGCAAAGTGCATCAGCGACACGTGTTTTTGTTTTCGCAGTGTTCTTGAGGAATTTTAAATAAATTTTTGGGCAAAATAACTACCGCAGAATGGGAAAATTTCGTTCCAAACTGAAGCGCCACACTAAAGGCAAAACATGGAGCAAAGGGCAGTCATCTACTTCTAATCCTGAGCAAATGAGGCATCGATTAAAAGCCAAGTCGCGTTTCTTTCAGCCAAACTTAAGTTTAGGTAAAGTAAATTTGATCCTAGTTATTAACGTTATTTTTATTTTTATTTTACTTCGCAGCACCACCTGAACATGCTCCAAATTCCAACACGCTTACTTTCGATGCGGTATTGAAACATGATCAAAGCCTGGCTTATAATGCTGAGACAACGACAGTCAACGATGTTGCTGGCAGTTTAAAATCTTTCAGTCTCCACGACGATGGCGGCTTGGAAGATGAGAGCATGTCGGAATCGCAACAGGGCACTTTTAAAACTTTCAAAACATTTGCTTCCAACTACAGTGCTTGTAGCAATATGAGTTTTAAAAGGCTCCTCGTGGGATTTCGTGCATCGTCCGACTTGCATAAGGAAATGCTTGCAATCTTAACCGCACTTACCGAAATCATACGCGAGCGTGGGGGTACAGAGTCATCGACGGAGTATTTCATATTGCTTATGGAACAGATTGAAGCTAGCACTGAAGACAATGATATAATTGCGGGCATTTCGCTGTTATCAATGGGTATCAAATCGGTGCCAGAAGCGGTGTTGCGCAAACGATTTGGAGATACGGCTCAGACCTTTTTATCATGCTTACAACGCTTTATGGAGCCAGCGAATCAGACCATTGTAAAATATGTAAGTAAGTACACAACTTCTTTTGGATAAATCTGCTAATTTACTTTTTCAGATAATTGGTTGCTTGTCCGTACTGCTTTGTGCCCAAGAATATATCACATGGACTTACTCCTCCACTTGGCAATACATTGATGCCATACTTTCATTCACCATACATTCAAAGCCTAAAGTATTCACTTTTTTAATACTTTCAGCACAATTTTAAGCTCATTAAATGTTTTTTTTTTTTTTTTTTTATAGATTCGGAAAGCTGCGCAACACGCTATTGTATCAATCATTCATGGCAGCTCCTTCATGCGACCTACCCATGAAGAAGAGGCCGAGGATGCTGATTATGTAGCAGAGCGGAAAGCTAAGCACCATCCGGCCAGCAGTCGTGTAACAAAATTCTGTTTAAGCCAATTTAAGCCTGAGGTTCTAACCAATTCGCAGACAACAGTGCTACATACGCTCACACTTCTCAAAGACATTGTGAGTGGCTTTAAAATAGAAGACATCCGTTCAGTTTGCGAAAGTTTACTTTCCATCATGACTGCTGCTAATGTGCTCATTCGCACCAACTGCTTCCAAGCTCTGCATTCACTTTTCGCGTCACGAACAACCAATTTGAATGGTTCTTTGTGTGCGAAATTGCTAGCTGCCATACATGAATATCGTCCAGATCGTGCTGATGTGCGTCAAACGGTAGTTTGGATTACGGTGCTAAAAGAAGGACATATTCATCTGGCATTATTGGATTTGAACTTATGTATGAATGCGTTGCCAAGATTTTTCGATATTTGTGCCACTGACTTGTGGATGTCCGAGCGCACAGAAATAATTAATAGTGTATCGAATTGTATTAAGGAGCTTTTAAACGAATGTATTAAGTCGGCTTGTGACACAACTGAAAAAGCTGAAGTGTACCGCATTCCAATAATGCGAATAATCGCCACATTGGAAAAGGTACTTAACGCACCCTTCGGGGAAATAGCCAAACATGTCATACTTATATTTTCAATTGTCTTTGAAGTATGTGGCAAGTATTTTAGGTAAGTTGTCTTCGCTGATGCAAAATA